CTGCAACGCTCTCGCGACCTTCGGCGTCATCGTAGCTCTGGCCGACTGGGCTCGCCCTACGTCATCTCTTGTCGCCGACGACCTTCGACGACAGCGCAGCTCTGATTTACTGGTCCTGCTCTACGCCATCCACAGACGCCGACAACATCTCTCGCAAGTGTACCCCGTCCTCGGACTCCAGTGACCGTTCTTCCATCTTTCCTGTCTCTCCTATCCCCTCAGTTTGTTGTTGCTTCTTCTTCCTCTTTTCTATACCTTTACCTCTACCCTTTTATTCCTCCTTACCCCCTTCCCTTGTGAGCTCTGTGGCGGTGTCGCTCACTGAAGCAGACAATAACGGAGCTCACTTTTCTCTTCCTTTCTCTTAAGAACCAATCCAACGCTACATCTACATTTCGGCGTCTGGGTGGTTTAGGGACCCTTAAAAAAACTGACGATTGATCACAACCAAAGACAGATACACACGCGCGTCCGAACAAAGTCGAATTAAAAGAATGCGTGTGTCAAATATTGTGAACGCCATGTTTCTCAAGCTCGTTAAGACATGCTGAACTCCAAAGATACAAGGTGCGGAGCAATAAATTTCCAGGCGTGTTTTCATGCTATTATGAATATTACACATTTGGTACGCTGTACTAGACACTAATGCGTAAGAGCCAACTGGTGGTTCATCGATGCTGCCTAGCGAAAGTCTAGTTAGACTCCTTTGAGTGTATGAGCTCTGGTGTATACGTGTGGTCAAGCATCACGGCGCGATCACACCACCGCCCCCCCCCCCCCCCCCCCGTTCTTTCTCTTTTTGTGGCGCCATTTCGTAACTGACAACCGATAGCAGAAGACGGATAAGGTCGCGCTCTTCCGTCTTTCGATCAATAGCCGCGAGCAAAGTTACACACACGAACGCGCACACGCCCACAACTCGCACCCGTCGATGATGACGAAAAGAGCCACGGGGGAGGGGGGCGCTGTCGTAACCGCCAGGGGGCGGCACCGGTTGACGGACGGACTGGCCTGCGCGGGCGGACAGGGGCCAGTCAGTCACCCCGCGAGGGAGAAAACAACGCAGCCGCTACCGAGTTGAACGACCGACAGGGCCCGGCCCACCCTGCCGTCGCGCACGCCACACCTGCACTTGTCCTCCTCTCTCTCGTTAACTCTTTCAACAATATTAGTCTCGCGCCGTTAACTGCCACGGAATGGCGCATTACCTCGTACTTCAGAGACAACCAAAGCTGTTTCCGGCAACGGTTTGCTTTAGAAACAGAAATGTAGCTTTGCCATGAAGACATCATTGCTCCCAGACACACTGACGAAAAAAAAAAATTAAATGCAGGCCACCATATACGCTCCACCAGTTTCCTTTGTCTGTATACAGCCTCGATGCATTATTATACCCATGCTACAAGGGCACAAGAACACACATTGAGTATTCAAGGCCCAAAGTTCTTGAATGACACTTTTTTTTTGTCAGAGCCAAACCTGTAAACTTAATCGCATTTGGCCTGATGATGGGAGAGAGAGAGAGAGAGAGAGAGAGAGAAAACTTTATTAAAAGGTCAGTCAATTGCTCAGGCATGGCCCGTTGCCCCTAGCTGTCGGCCGGAATCCCTTGGGACGCGGCAGCAGCAAGGGCTTGACTGATGATGTCGCGCTGGACGTTGGGATGTAACGGACTTGTGACGTCAGCACTTTAAAAGTAATAATAAACATATGTACAATTTCATAGGTATAATTTGCAATAGTATAAAGTGCTGATTGATTGATATGTGGAGTTTAACATTCCAAAACCACCATGATTATGAGAGACGCTGTAGGGCTCCGGAAATTTCGATGCCCTGGGGTTCTTCAACATGCACCCAAACGTGAGCACACGGACCTAATTTCGCCTTCATCGAAAATGAGGTCGCTGCCGCAGGGACTCAATTCCGCGACCTGCGGGTCAGCAGCCGAGTGCCTTAGCCACTACACCCCTGCAATGGGGCAATATAAAGTGCTGCCATAAGCTTAAGCTTGTCATCTTTTGCACAATGCAACCAACAATAGCAACGGGGCACTTTTCATATGTTGATGCCTTTCTGAATTGAACTTTACGGAAAGTGTACAAAGCAATGACATGATATTTGTTAATTATCACGTAAAAAAGAAAAGTGGCCTCAGCTGCCAAATTGTCCAGACAGGTGTTCAAGCTTCAGAAACGAGTATGACATCCACATTATCACAAACAGGTCTACAACTTTCTCATTTGACATTTTTCGCACGGTATGACATCCACATTATCACAAACAGGTCCACAACTTTCTCATTTGACATTTTTCGCACGGCTTCATCGCTTCAAAACTCCGTAATTTAATGCCAGACATTAAGCAATGCACCTCCTCCATGCAGTAGTCAGCCCACATGCATTTGGTCACGCTACCATAAGAGTGCATCAACATATTTTGAAATTCTGGCTAAATTACCCTTTCGCAAATTTGCCTATATTTCTGACATTATGTTATAAAAACCAGCTGTAGTGTATATATATAAACCATACAGAAATAGCAAAAGAAAATATTTAATCGAAACCAAGCCAGAACTTCGTTAGAAAGTAGAGGGACACATTCCAGTGACTCGTGAAGGTGCCACCATGCATTCACATCCTCCGATGCCTAGAATGAAATGGTACAACAACTGGCACAAAGCAGCACTGTTCAAGTTGTGCAGTGGAACGGTGTGCACACCTCATTTCCAGCAGCAGCATGTGCACATTCACCCTACAAGCCTTCATAAGGCTGTAGTCTGCTCCTGTAAAGCTGGCCCTACTGCACACACAAATGTTTCGTATACTTTGTTTTCCCTGCTTCCGTCCTTGAAATGGTTGAGTACTGATGCTCTTCCTGTATATCAGTCAACGTTTCAAGAGCTGTTCTGCAGTAGAACTTGTTCTTGAGCTAGTTGGTGTGCTTTTGCACTACACCATAATTATTTTAAAGAGGTATACGATATTGAGAAAATTATAACATAAACGTAGAACAGTGTATAACAAACAAATGAATAAAATGCATTTAAAAAATACAGAAATGAAGAAGCTTGCGCTCGGCCAAGCAAGACAGTAAAGCCAGTCAAACCAAATAGGAGGCTACATTGACTAATGTTAAGGATAACTTTCAGGTTCCCACTAATTATTATGCGAATTATATTACAGCTCTTGCCTCTTTTTCTTCATGTCAGCCGCTTTCCTCTTCGAGCAGGCCGAGTCGGATCATGACCTTTGATCTCAATCTTGCTCTGCAGCACGTCGATCCTCATGATAGGCAGCATCGTCATCAGGAGTACAGTTCTCCCTCGGTCTACCCACGGATACAAACTGCCTCAATACAACCACACGTTGCTGGTTTCATAACAATTCTGAAAACGTGCACATGCACAGCAGATATAATTATGAAGCGTTTCATGAGGTGAACAGTTGCTAGGCAACTAAATTATTTAAACTTGGCATGATTATTTTGGTAGCTAGTCATTTTGGTAGCTTCAATGCAGCTCTTCCGCAGCTGTTACATTGGCACCTGTTTGGCTTGGCCTAATGTCCAATCAGCTGTTGTGATAATCAGGCGAGGCGGGTTCGTTGCCGAACTAGGCTTGGTGATGGCTTTTTCCTTGCTACTGCTTCAGTGCATTTGTGGCATGGAAATAAGTCATACAAGCTGGCGTGGTAGCAAAGCGCGGCCAGGTTATAGTGTACTAAAAAGAGCAGTAGGCTTCCTCTGCTGCTCCTCCAATGCAGTGGGCGGTGCATGTTATAGGTGACGCAATAGACAACTTCATTAGAAGCTTCGCTTGCAGAAGCTGCTTGCCGCTAGCCCCACGCGAGTTGTGACACACAATGCTCTGCTTTTTAAAATATTCTTGTTTGTATTAACTGCCATCTGACTATATTAAGAACGTATGTTGCATTCGGTTAGTATTTTTTCTATTTCATTTTGCGATAGAATTTGCCGAAAGTTAGCCTGATAGCAGCCAACGCTACCCATGCCGTTCTGTCTTTTTTTTTTTTTTTAGTGGGGCACAGTTAATGCTTTCTTTTTTATTTTGGTGCCCTTGAGTTCACTGCAGATTCACTATATCTTCTTACATCACACCGACCACCTCGCGGTTTCATGCTGTGTAGATTGAACCTTTTGTATCAACACTACGCTTAAATGATTATCCGTCTGAATTTTCCGATCTCTCTTTCGTGTTGTTGCATCTCTCTTGGTCCTCTCTTGCATTCGCTTTTTACCAAGGTAGGGTGGCAGATTGGGAAGAAACGCGGCGTAGCATCGCCGCGGAGAGGGTGTCTTCCGCAGATATACCCACACTTCTTTTCCTTCGATGATATGCACATAGCCTCTGAGCACACGAAGCAGCTCGAAGTGGAGCTTGTGCTTTGCACTGATGTCTTCCAGGGGACTTGTCCACTCTGACAGGTTCTGTTCGCATTCTTTATGCCCGTTCTGATTTTTTGGAGGCCAAACAAGGACAGCTTTGACTCTTGCTTCACGTATATGTAGTTCACTGACGTGGGGCTGGCTAGCTAATGCTTAGGAAAGAAGACGTCAAAATCAAAGTAAAATGTTTGATATGTAATGTCCAACTGCAATGTATGGAGAGAGTTAACACTGCATACCAAGGAAATGAAAAGCGTCCCTTTTCAAATGTCTTAAAATCGTGTCAATACTCTGTTAAGATGTCTGGAGAAACGCCACACAGATGATCGAGGCACAGCAACTGATCACCCCCATGACTAAAGAAATAGCCCTGCTCGTTTACTTGACATAGTGATCAGAAGGCGGGTTGGTTGCACGCTGGTCGCCGGCTCCCCTGCTGGCGACCTCGGTCTGGAAGTTGCACCTATTGGTGGAGGCCTTTCAGGAGGAAATGCTAGAGACTTGCGAGGTTCGACCCTACTGTAGGCTTGTCCTTGTTTCTTTTGTCCTACAGTTTCTGAAAACTGTTTCAGAATGTGAAAACTCCAAGCTCACCTGCTGGGCGCACAGTCTCTCTTGGATTTCGGCCTGTGTCCACGTCGATGAAACTGCCATCTGGCTAGGAAGTTGTGCCTCCAGCTCCTTGAGCCAACGTCTCAAGCGCCGCATCTCTAGAGCCACCTCTGCAATACACAGGCCATGCAAACACAACTCAAGGGAGTACAATAAAGATCTGCCACAGAGGAGATCTAAAATGTGCTGCACAACAACAATAAAATAAATCACTGCCCCTACACCCTGTGGAGGTGGTTGACCCTGTGAAAATGGTTGACTAACAAGGCCGAAAGGGGCAGACCCGGTATCTATCACTAGATTTATCACACTGTTGCACGAAAGTGTTTCTGACCTACATTGTGCATTTGTGTGAGGCTTTAACTACTCTCTTTCACTTCCCCGCTTTATCTATACACACAATGTGTAGGCCGTGTCAGTTGGAAACATTGTACTGCTTTGTTTGTTCATGTCTGCACATTTTTCATTACAAATATTTGAATTGTGCTATGCTCAGCAGATACTGAAGTGACACAAGAGTTGGTAGATGCTATAAGGCTTGCCTGATTTAAGACATCGTTAATTGTTTCTTGATATGAGGCCTTAAAAGAGCCCCTAACACAAGTAGCCATGGAATGGATTCACCAGAGGAGCTCACTGCCTCACGAATTCACCACTGCAAAAATGTTTAGAAACAATCTAGTACAGGTGATGTTTCAAAGATTGGTCACACCACACTGCAAAAGCAATTTTTCTTCTCTTGTCTCGACGCAACCACTGGAACCTAAGCAGAGAGGATGGCATGGAAAAAGGAAATAATGTCAAGCACCTTGTGATCTTGAGACCTTTCTTTTTTTTTCTTTGAGTACGCAACATTTTCGTGCGATCACATGAATACCTGTGGACAAGTCACAGCCTCAACGCGGTGGCTCCAGTAACGATGGTGCAAGCCATGCTGAAATCAGTGAATTGCTCATGCTAGGCGTTCGATACAGTGATTTTTGGGTCTGTAGCACGGAGTAAGATAAGAGAGGAGCGCCGACTCCGCTCCTCTGGAAGGGACACATCTTGCAATGCCGCTTCATGCTTCGAGATTGGTCTGCCAGGTGGGGCTACGAATGGAGAAAAGCGGCGGAGGAGAGCATGCCTCAAGCAGAGCCGCGGGCGGGGGCTCTGTCCATTGTTGCCAACAGCACGGACGCACACTTGGCCGGGTTCATGGGTCTGCTCGCCTATCCGTTTTGTCGTCTGCTCTGCGCATGCATTACCTCTGCTACCAATTCTTTCCTGTAACGAGTGTGACTATTGTAGTTAGCGGATCGATGTTATGAGAAGAAATAACCCAAACGTATTGCTTTATTTCTTTTATTCGAAACAGGCCAAATGCCTGAAATTTTTAACGTGGACTGCACAAAATTATACAATGCCACTACAACGTATACATACATATATATATATATATATATATATATATATATATATATATATATATATATATATATATATATATATATATATATATATATATATATGGGATTCGCGGCCACGAGTGTCACCTTGCTTGACCTGTGCCTTTTCCTGTTATAGATCATCGAATCCTGCCCCGTGCAGTTTGCTCGTTGCCGCCAGGAATCAGCCGATCAACGAAAGCTACGCGAAACCGCCATCTCATCCAGCCCGTTCTGAGCACCGGAAAAGGCTGTGACGCACCCCGTGACGTCACATGGTTGCAGCGCCGCCACAAGCCTTATTAACGCCGAACAGTCGGTTTCCATCTGGGATTCGCGGCCACGAGTGTCACATTGCTTGACCTGTGCCTTCTCCTGTTATAGATCATCGAATCCTGCCCCATGCAGTTTGCTCGTTGCCGCCTGGAATCAGCCGATCAACGAAAGCTACGCGAAACCGCCATCTCATCCAGCCCGTTCTGAGCACCGGAAAAGGCTGTGACGCACCCCGTGACGTCACATGGTTGCAGCGCCACCACAAGCCTTATTAACGCCGAACAGTCGGTTTCCATCTGGGATTCGCGGCCACGAGTGTCACCTTGCTTGACCTGTGCCTTCTCCTGTTATAGGTAGGCTGTTTATCTGGTTAGCCTTTTTGCTAATAACCTCTGTGGCTGTGGATCCCCGCAATTTGTGTAACGATGGGTGTTGACCTGTGTGCTTATCACGCTCGAATCGGCACGTTCTCTGCTTGTAGTGCACCTAAAATCTTCCGCCATGTTCAGTCTCAGCTGAAACTAACCGCAATCAGCGCGCTATGCCCCAGGCCGTCTCTACTTTTGGCGTTAACGTGTCTTACCTTGCTTTTACTCTGCGCGGGGGACGTGGAAGCTAACCCAGGCCCCAGGAATGAGGATGTGGTCACCCTCATAAAAGAATGTCACGACGAGACAACAAAAAGCTTGAACGATATCAAACAGCACTTGAATGCCCTGAAGACTCGTGTCGCGGCCATTGAAAAAACTCTGAACAGCGTGGCGAAGTTCAAAGACAACTTTGACGCTGTCGCTGAATCTGTGAATGAAGTCAAGTCGAATATAAGCAAGACAAGTGGACAGCTAGTTGAAGTAGTTGACGATATGAATAACAGAATGAGGAGGAACAACCTTATCATCAAAGGCCTTCCTGAAGGTGATCACAAAGGATACTTAGAGACAGAGCAAATCGTCAGGGATTTATTCACTGACCACCTTAAGATTACAGCTGGAGATATCGAAAGGGCACACCGCTTTGGCCAACGTCGTCCCGGCTTTCACCGTCCAATTATTGTTAAGTTTCTTAACTTTAAATCTAAAATAGATGCCCTGCGCAACTCGTACAAGCTTAAAAACCTGGAGACACCAAAAGTTTGGCTTGAAGAAGATTTCTCGCCGAGTGTTCAATTCGCAAGAAAAAAACTTGGGGACTTCGCCAAGAGCAACCGTACTGACAACGCCCGCTTTTCAGTGCGTTTTAACAAACTTCACCTACAAGGCAAGGTTTACCAGTTGGACCTAGCCAGTGGCTCGGTGGTTCAGGCGTCCTCAGACCCCGAACGATCTGCTAAATGATGTTTAGCGTCACATAACCAGCGCCCTTCACCTATTGACTCATTTTCGATGCTTTTGGCTAACTTCCGTAGCCTATACCATAAGACTGACATCTTAAAAGCCATCATGCACACGTGCTCTGCAGAAATAATTATCGGTACCGAAACGTGGCTGTCTGAGGACGTCACAAGCAGCGAACTTTCGTTACCATCGTCACTCGTCATCTTCCGCAAAGATAGAACCGGCTCTCGAGGTGGTGGTGTGGTTGTTGCGATAAACGAATTATACCACCCCTCTCCAATTTCAGTGGACTCACCTCTCGAAATAGTCTGGGCATCATGTCACATTGGTCATGTTGCTTGCGTCATTGGCGCTTGTTATCGACCCCCCGACAGCAATTCAGAGTTTTCAGATCTTCTTGGTGATGCCATTGAACAAGTTACACAGAAATTTCCTAATTCTCTTTTATTCTTAGGTGGTGACTTTAATTATCCAGAAATAGATTGGTCCACTCTGTCTGCCCTTCATGACAATAATCGATCTGAATGTATTCGATTTCTTCAGCTGCTCCTTTATCACAATTTAACACAACTTGTACATAAACCTACGCGGAAGGATCTGGTTTTAGACTTGGTCCTAACTAACAGCCCCGAAATCTGTAGCACACGCGTGGTAGAAGAAATCAGTGATCACAGGGTTGTCCATTGCTTGGTTTCACTTCCTACTGCAAGGCAATCAAAAATTAAAAAACAGTTGCTGAACTATGCGCGTACCGACATAACAAAAATGAACAGTATGCTACACACTTTCGCAGCGGAATTTTACGACTACTTTGACGACCGTACAACTAATGAAAACTGGTGTTTGTTCCGGGATAAACTTAAAGAAATTGAAGCTACTTGTGTTCCTAAACTAACAATAAGTTCTAGATCAGATGATCCATGGTTCGCGCGAGACGTAAAATGCGCCCTGAACAAGAAGAAAAGGGTTTACAGAAAAGCAAGTCGCTCGAACTGTCCCCAAGATTGGGAAGCTTACGAAAACATTTCAGCTGAAACACCCAGCATCATTTTTCAAGCGAAAGATAAATTCTTTAACGAAACGCTACCTAACCTCATGAAAACGGACCCTAAAAAATTTTGGAATATCGTGAAACCCAAAAGCACCTACTCAACAGCAGTATTAATGAGGGAAGACGGCAGCACCTTATCGGTAGAACACTCCGCTGAAAAATTCAACAAACACTTCACTACGGTATTCACTGACGAACTTCCACTGAATGATTCTCTTTCACTGTCACAACTGCCAATTGAATACCCTTTTCCAGCAATCCTAATAACAGAGCACGGTGTAGCTAGCGCTATCAGTCGACCTCCCCTTAAAACCAGTCCCGGCCCCGATGGCATCAGCGCCAAACTACTTAAATTAACCTGTCAACATTCAGCTAAGTTGCTTGCATTCATTTTCCAGCAATCCCTTGACTCTGGTTGTATACCAGATGACTGGAAATTGGCTAATGTGGTACCCATCTTTAAGTCCGGTAACAGCAATCACCCCCACAACTATAGGCCGATTTCACTCACGTCCATTTCGTGTAAGTTACTAGAGCACATCATACACTCCCAGGTCATGCGTCACCTAAACCGTAACAATTTACTTCTTCAAACCCAACATGGTTTTCGAGAAAAATTATCATGTCAGACTCAACTTTTCGAACTCGTGACAGACCTGCACACAGCTCTTCATATGTCCATCTGCATCGACGCGCTTTTCATAGACTTTTCTAAGGCTTTTGATCGTGTTCCCCATAACCGGCTAATGTTAAAAATACGTCACCTCAGCCTCGACCAGAAAACAACTGCATGGATACAAGAATTTCTAAACAACAGGTCTCAGTCAGTTAAACTTAACAACTACATATCTCATCCTACCCGAGTAACATCTGGTGTGCCACAAGGCAGTGTGCTGGGTCCTCTTCTCTTTTTAGTATACATTAATGAGATTGCATCTAACATAAGTTCATCAATTCGTCTCTTTGCGGACGATTGCATTGTTTATAGGAAAATAACTTGCACAGATGACGTTGCAGAACTA